GCATACATCAATTTTATAGTCCACTTAGTATATAACGTTGTTGCCTCCATTTGTTCATATGCCCATCTCGCCTTCTCAACTGCCACAGCAAATGGCTGAGAAAATTCCCATCGAGGATCTACGCACCCCCGAGGCGAACAGCCTGTCGTCTGGCGACAGCAACTCTCGAGCAGACGATGCGAGCGACTATGAGCTGACTGGTTTCCACTAGTCCTGGTCATCACTGGACTTGGTCTTTCTATATTTCTCATGTCACTGGACTCGTCTATCATTGCCACGGCTATTCCCCGGATCACGTCACAATTCAACAGCACCAGTGATATTGGCTGGTATGGAAGTGCATACTCCTTTGCGATGTGCGCTTTGCAGCCTATGGCAGGTAAACTATTTGGAAGCTTTGAGATGAAAGTGAGATTATCCAAAAATTCCAGTTGTAGATGAAAAGCCTTTTAACAGTATTAGGGCATGTTCCTCGGATGTCTTGCCGTCTTCGAGCTTGGCTCATTGCTCTGCGCCCTTGCAGTCAACAGTCCTATGCTCATCGTTGGGCGTGCTATAGCCGGAATTGGGGCAGCAGGATGCTTTACAGGAGCCTTCTGTATTGTCGCGGTTTCCATCCCGCTGGTCAAGCGACCCTTATATATTGGAATCCTTCAGTCAACCTTTGGCCTTGCCACTATCATTGGACCCGTATTAGGTGGTGCGTTCACTGAGCATGTGACCTGGAGGTGGTGTTTCTGGATTAATCTCCCCATTGGTGCTATCACCATTTTCTCACTGGTCTTCTTCTTCAAACCGCCTCCGCGCGACAGGACGAAAACTCCGTCGGTCCTTCGCAGACTGGGAAAGTTGGACTTCCTGGGCGCTTTTCTATTCGCTCCGGCCATCATCATGATATTTTTGGCTCTTCAATGGGGAGGGACCGAACACGCTTGGAAGAGTGCTACCATCATTGGTCTCTTCATTGGAGGCGCATTTGTCGGTCTTATCTTTGCCCTCTGGCAAATACGAAAGGGCGACAATGCCATGATTCCACCGCGTCTGATTACTGAGCGTACGATGTTCTTCTCCTGTTTCAGCGAGTTTTTCGCCATGGGTGCCGTTTACATTTCGATATACTACCTTCCAGAATGGTTCCAGGTCATCAAAAACGCCTCGCCCACGAAATCTGGAGTCATGTACCTCCCTTTAGCGCTGTCAGATGTCCTCTCTGCAACCTTGACAGGCGCCTCACTTAAGTATCTTGGATACCCGAACCCCTACATGCTCTTTGGAACGGGCCTGATGAGCATAGCAACGGGACTGTTCTCTACCTTTTCCCAGAGCACTCCACACCAGCAGTGGATCCCATTCCAAGTCCTTCAAGGCATTGGTGTGGGAATGACCCTCTCAATGCCCTATGTTGCGACACAAACAGTCCTCAATCCCGAAGATATTCCCGTCGGTACCTCATTACTGCAATGCTTCCAATTCTTCGGGGCTTCCGTGAACCTCGCGATCGCGGAGGCTATCTTCGAGAACAAACTTGTCTCGCGACTGGACAATTGGGGACTTAAAGGCCACGAGATAGAGAACATTCTCAGTGCAGGCTCCGCCGAAGCGAGGAGCGTGGTTTCTGCGGCGCACCTTCCAGGCGTATTAGATGCATACAACTACGCGATCACGAGTACATTCTACGTCGCAACCAGTGTTGCCGCCGTTGCTTTCCTTCTTTCACTCGGGATACGCTGGAGGAGTGTCAAGCCGAAATCCCAGGCTGCTGTTTCTGATGAGGAGGCTAGGTCGTCTAGTCAGTAGGATTAAGTGGCACTGATTGATTCAAGCAAAACATGGAAGACGGAAAATTCTGGAATGTGAGCCCTAAAGGTATCGCAAATAATCACGTCTTGCAGTGGGAATTACCATTTAGACTTTTTGGAATAATGGTGCATAGCTAGCGATTTTTTAATACAAAATACGAAAACGTTCTACATTACACACTCTGAGCCTCTTTGTCTGACCAGATGCTGGAGATAATATGTATCTCAATCGATAGGCTTTCTATATCGTGTCTCCAAAGTGCGCTCTGAGTAGGTTTCTTCATGTTGATTGCACGCGCCTGATTTCCCCCACCCGCAGCGAAGGGTAGGCTGGTGTCTAACATCTACATGTTGCGTCTGCTCAAAACAACCACCTAAACCTCAAGAAACTTATAAAGCCTGGGCAATCCAACCATAAATAGATGTTTGTTGAAGCATCTCACTCATTTACCGAGGCAGATAGAAAAAAAGCAACAACAATTCGAAAGCAGAACTTGCACTAAAAATAGAATCAGGTATTAAATCAGGAATCAATGAAAAAAATGTTATGATACGCTGTCCAATACTTACCGAAGTAAGATATTTCGATGGGAGAACACCATAGAATGCTTAATGTCATCGGCTTTTCAACACAGGTTCATCACTTACATCCTATTCATATCCAATCCAGTTAGCGCTGTATACTATTTTCGGAAAGATTCTTGGTCGCCAGAGTAATGGTAAAGATGCGCAGTGCTTGAAATAGACTTTGGGGGACCGCAAATGGGCCGGCCCACAACGCCGACTCCTGCCACGTCCGGGAGCCAATCGGTTTCTCGGCTTCTAGTGCAAAAACCGGAGACATCATTTACCTAAGCACATGTGGTCTGTCCATAATTGGCATAAATTTTTACAAGCTGTCTGCTAGACTTATCGGAGTGGCGAACGAATTGGAGTAGATGGAGAGGAAGTGATGGGCTCGAAGGGAGTATACTAATCAGGGGGAAGGTTGTTGCAGAAGATAAATAGCTGCTAGAGTGTTCTATAGACGGAATAGCAGCTTGCCACTCGACAGAGGACGTATTTTCTTGCGAGAAGTAGGAGAACACGACCACGGAGTGTTTTTCGCCCACCATTCTGTTGCCCAAGTCGGCGTGATATTCCAAATAACTCACCTGCCCCAACAGTACCTCCTAAGCAACAAAGACCCGTTCTATTCGCAGGCTGACGGTCTGTCAAGTCTGGGCTTATAGACCGCGTCTGAACCTTTCCAATCCTTCCAATTTCTTCTACAGGCCACAAATAGAACCTCCTTGATCTACTGTCCCGTGGGTCGTCGCTGGGATCTGCATCGCAGAACCGTACCTGCGTCTGTCTAAATTCACGCGTGGTGTTTGATTGGTCCGTCTGGTGCTATTTGTCTCCAGGGTCTCATCAGTGTGATAGTTACAATCTCGCGAGGTGGGTGGCGATCAAGAGAACTTAGCTCGTGAGCCTTGGTTGCAACAGTTCACATGGTTGTCTTGGAAACTAGGCTCAGTTTCCTATTGAAGGCTTTCCAATAAGCTCTGGGCTTTTTGTCATGCCCTCCCAAAGACAATCCTCATCCTTAGTTTGAGAGTATGTCAGTGTCTGTGCGGCCAGGGAGTAGAGATTCTAGTAAAAGCAACATTAGCTGGCTGCGAGTAGACAGGAAAGAAACAACATTCAGCGGCGCAGGGCCAAGGATGAACAGGATTGATTCGAGCGAGACCAAAGGATCCTCCAGCCAACCGCAGGTACAGTCCAACGTTTCTGTCAGAAATTTTTCAACCTATTATTTTGGCATCTGTTGAAGCATTTCAACCCCTCATGAAAGAGCGGTGACCGTGGCTAAAACAGGGAGATGTAGGGTGCCACCGCGTTGAGCGATTTAATTGCAAACTCAACAATATGTAGGAATGACATTTTTGCGGCGTTGCTTTCTTTCAACAGTTGATGAAAGTGGTTCACCATACTCAACGCAAGATTTGAGAGAAATGATCGAAGGTCGAAACTTGAGTCGGTAGGCCACAAAGTCTCCAAATACCGTTTCAACGTCGTTCAAATTGCTTCAACGCCAACCAAAGGACAGTGATTCTCGCTACCCTCGGCGCAATGGTTCCTTGGTAGAGAATTGACCGAAAAATTATAAAAGGGGCCAGATTCCCAGCCCAAAATTCCCAGGACTTCCATCCTCACACTTTGGTCCTCATACTTTGATGCATCATAGTGTCCCTCTCTTGCCTGCGGGCTTGAGAGCTTCCGTGACCACGGCTGTCGCTGCCACGAGCCCAGCGATGTAAGACTGTGCTCCCTCGCTGCCACGAGCCCCGCGAGTGTAAAAAGGTGCTTCGCAGGATAGGTCTGCGTCAAAAATAATCCTCGCAGGGAGGTGCTGCGAAAACAAGACTACCTCGCAGGATAGGTCTGCGTGAACAACAATCCTCGCAGGGGGGTGCTGCGAAAACAAGACTACCTCGCAGGATAGGTCTGCGTGAACAACAATCCTCGCAGGGGGGTGCTGCGAAAACAAGACTACCCCGCAGGATAGGTCTGCGTCAACAATAATCCTCGCAGGG